AGATAAATATAACCATAACGTGAGAAATCATTTATAATGGTGATTAAATACTTTACATCACCCCACAAAGGGACATTGAATAGACCACAAAAATTAGTGTGAATAAGTTATAAGATTTTAGTGCTTCTCATGGCAGATCTCTTTAATGTATGCTAGTTTGTTTTTCTTTAATTCATTTTATACATACATCTTGATCACTAAAATCCAAATGAGAAATAGTTTCATTATTCACCATTCTCAAAACTTTTCTTCAGATATGTGACCATAATCTTTAATGCCATAAGAGAGTAGAATTTTAATTATGTGCACTACGTTTAACCTCAAAATAAATATGAGAAACATAAGTAGTTGCACAGAGCCAAGCCACCAAGTATTATTGGGAATCTTTAATAAATTTGATTGACAACATACAAAAATTAATGTATGTCTTTCTTTTCGAATCAAGATTTTATTTCAGGCAATCTTTCCTAAGGTGGCCTTTCTTTTTACAAAAAATAACACCTTATTTATTTAATGATTGGACCTACAAAAACTTTAAGTAAGTCAGTCTCATTTTATTTGCCTTTATTTCCCATTTTAACTTACTATTATTGGCTCTCACATGAGATATAAAGTGAGTCGACTCTTCGTTCATCTAACTTATTCTCACCTCTTCCTGCACCAGCATAGCCTTAATTTCCTTACAGTCCTATTTATCTTTAATGGTGTTATAGTTCACCTAAGATTGGCCAAACTCGACAGGTAAGGAGTTCATGATGAATAAAACCATAAATGAGTCTATCACATTCATTCTCATGTCTGCAAGTTTAGCTTATATGTGGAACACATGGATCACGAAATCATGGATGGAGCGGAATCAGATGAACTTTTATAGTGGAGAGTACATTAATGAAACTTTCCACAATAAACTTTTCCCGCAATTTTAAATGGAGATAATCCTTGATTTTTATTTAGGAATTCTTTTCCATTATTAGCCTTAATGTTATCCCTCATGATTAACTTCATAAAATTCAAACATAACCTATTTGATCGCTCACATACCCTACGAAGAGTTACCTCTACTTCGGAGCTCTCATCAGTAATGGTTGTGGGAACTTCATCAATAATTAGAGTCATATCCAAATTCATTGAACCTAACTGAAATTGGATATGCTTAGGCCATTCATTGAAGTTCAGTCAATTGAATTTTTTTCAACTATAACACTGTACGGATAACCAAATTTTGAACGCTGCAAACTTTAATACATGCTGTTTAGTTACGCTTTGAGAGACAATTAATGGATTCAGAAATCTTTTAAATTATATATTTAAATATACCTTTGGACAAATACTTAAATATATAATATACTTGATTGATGCCTAAGAGGAAAGATCTTTAATAGAAATTACAAGAATTGTGATCAACTAGTGGTTATCTTTGGACAAACACACTAATTAACCTAACTTTAATATAATTTCTCTTTTAGTGTCATATATTACAAACCATGGCCCACCTTTGGGTGTCCTCCTAGTATATAATCTATAACATCAATTATTCAAATATTATAATATTAGGGTACATTAATAAGACATCGTCTTATATTTGAATAATTGATACTTTTATCTAATTTAATTATCTATTCCATAAATTAAACTAGGCCACTTTGGTGACTAACTAGTTTCTTACATAGATAACATAATTAGATAATATTTTATTTTAATTATATTTTATCTAATTTAATTATCTATTCCATAAATTAAACTAGGCCACTTTGGTGACTAACTAGTTTCTTTACATAGATAATATAATTAGAAATAATTTATTTGATTGTATATTATGAGATTATCTAAACTATTATTAATCTCTATTAAGAAATCAATTGACTTTTATATAGTTCAACAAATACAAATTAAAGCAGAACTATTCACCAGAATTTACATGCAATTCTCATGTACATGGCAAAAAAAAAAAAAAANCTGGCAAAAAAAAAAAACAAATAATCCCCATCGAAGCTTATTTACCAATCATGATGAGTACTTTAATTTAATTGAATTAATACATTCAAATAGTGAACAGTAAAACAAAAAACACCAATGATTATGGCATTATGCTATTTGATGGTTACGGCATATTAAAGAAAAACATATACCTCCCAAGCATATTTGCGCAAACAGATTTCATGTATTAAGCAAATAATTTCAAAACCCAATAAAGAATCCATTACGGCAATTTAAGAGAAAATTCATCAAACACAATTATTTGATTCAATCCATTCAATCAAAGAGCGGCAATATGATCATAAAAACACTTACGGCAACATTATTGATAATTATTAATTATCATACGCAGTCCTTAATCTTTTATATGGCAAAATAATATGCATAAACACATGCTCTGATACCGCATGTAAGAAATTTAACGGGCATACTCATAACTATCAGGCGGAATTGAATAAACCCTAAGCATGTAATTCTATCAGTTCATAGAATATGGATCGTTGCATAAATTAAATTGCACATAGAACTTACAAGAATCCAACTTATGGTCCTTCCCTGTTTTCTTGATCTATGATGTTGATCTGCGATCTCTTCGTCCTCGTAATGTCATGGATCTATCTTTCTCATAATCTCCAATGATGGATTCCCCTTTGTCCTCGTAATGTCATGGATCTATCTTTCTCATAATCTCCAATGATGGATTCCCCTTTGTCTATGAATTGTTTCTCTCTCCCGCTTCTCTCCTCTTTTCATAAAGCCCTTGATGTTGAGAACTTTATTTTCGTATGAGATGGGAGAGAGGGGCATGTACTATATATAAGAGGAAAAGACTTACAATCCTAATCCTACTAACATTCCCCATGTTCTAAACATCACAAATTGGACTCTTTAATATTAGAACATTAATAATCTATTAAATACATATTCACCTTAATTAAGTTTGACTATTAATTCAATTAAGTTCAACTAACTATATGGTCCACAATAATAAAATAATATAAATATTATTACAAATTAGTCGTTAATAAGATGCCTAATCACTTTTACATTGTGTTGATACCAAATTCTTGAGGCCTACGAACACAATGCACGTGTCCCAATCAATGCACAACAATCGCTATGCAAGTTAAATGTATATCGTTTATAGCTTTTAGTGAGCTCGTTATTAATTTAGATTGACACTGGGTTTTTGTTGTAGTTTTTGACAAATAGTGGGTATTCAATTAGGCGAACCTGACCGACATACTGTTGTACATGTATATTTTTATTATAATAAAATGTTATACTTTAAAAAAAATTAAACAAAAACAAAATATTTAATAGTAAGGTTCGATGTAAATGTCTCGACTGATTAAATATTTTATTTTTTCTAATAGTATTAAGAGTAGACTTGCCTAACGATCAATACCAAAAAAAATTGTTATAACCCAACGGAAAATTCTATGGTAATATTTTTCAATAGAAATTTCAACGGATATTCCAATAGTATAGATTCCGTTGGAATTATTCCAACTAAAATATTCCGTTAGAATGTGTTTTTCATTGGAATTTTAGATGGAATTTGATGATTCCAACGGCTATATTTCCAACGGCTTTTCGCCGTAGGAATTAATGTTGGAATTTTTATTTTCACCCCCGTTGAAAAATATACCGTTGGAATCTCCAAAATTCAACATAAATTCCAATGGAAAACTCATTCCAACAGAATATTTTTGTTGGAATTTCTGTTGGATTCCATTAGAAAATTCCATCGGAAATAATAGTATTGAAAAATATCTATTGAAATTGCCAGTGGAATTTTATTTGAATAAATTTCCGTTGGAATTTCATCATTTTTCTTGTAATGGATTGGACTATTTCATATAAGAATTTGTATTAAACTAGTGACTTTTTTGTTAGGTTGGTAAACCAAAAAATTGTATATTTATATATCTATACTTATATAAAAAGTCATTTCATTTACTAAAATTAGTAGGAAGAAAAGTCAAGTCTTAATTAATTGCACACCATATTTAGGAAGTTGTAGATATTTTAAATCTTAAAATAGGGTAGCATTAAATGCCCCTAAAATTATGGGTTTTGTTAAATTCATTTTCGAAAATTTCGACAGATATTGAAGTGAATATGAAATTCAATCTCCTCTCATTTTTTTTTAATAAAATCTGCATCCAAATTTACGTGTGGTTTGAAGTGAAAATTTAAAATTCAAAATCTCTTCTCATTTTAGTTACAAGAAAATCGGGATGCATTCAACACTTGGACTAATTTAAAAATTATTTCTTAAATGAAGGAATTTATAGATAATTGTTATCTCTACTCAATCACATGATTATTTTCAATATAAAAGAGACATATTACAAATTAGTGAATCATATATTACTTAATTCAATATGTTAACATTAAGGAATAAATCCATAGTATTATGTTAATCCGTATCTCATATTATTATATCATTAAGAATATATTATAGTTATACTATCAAATCATAAAAAGATATTAAATCCATATTGTAAAAAAATAATTCATATAATTTTATAATAATTCTACTACACTATTCAACAGTATTCCTTTTTATCATATAATAAAATAATAATTAAATATTATATAGTGAACAACAATAAGTAAAACTGTTACTTACTCTTATATCAAGGGATAAATTTATATGCTAAAATTAAACTTTTATTAGTATAGATTTTTTAGTGAGATAATATATTAATTGTTTTACAAGCTAGTCCTAACATGATCATATTTAATGTTCTGGCTAAAAAAACAACGCTGGTTAAAAGATGTGAAAAAAAACTTATAATAACCCTATTGTTTTTTAGACTTAACGTTGATTAAAAGAGGTGAAAAATATATAATAACTGATGTAGGGAAAGCATACGAGTGGGCTAGATAATGAGACACTCTCTCGATAAAACTCACAAAACTCACCAATATCTTATTTCATTTCAATAATCAACAATCAACTGAAAAACATAAATGAGGAGGAGCCTTTAAATAAGGCTCCTAAAACCCTAATACTAACTTGTCCAACAAGACAAGAATCCTAACAAAATATTAAATAATATTAAAATTCCTAATTTCTCAAGATACCTAATAATAATAGTAATAATAATAATAATAATAATAATAATAATAATAATAATAATAATAGTCTACACCATTCTCCCCCGATTCGGAAGGCTTCGCCCTCGAAGCCGATGCGCTCCCGTGGCCGGTGTGTGGTGTCGAATCTGTGGTAGGACTCCCATCATTTTCCCCGATCAAACACGAAGGTTGAATGTAACCCAACGTCCACTCTAGCTGACCCACACAACATAGGACCCTTACTTCTAAACCAAACACCCCCGGGCATCACAAAACTAAAAAATTCAACACCACCCGAATGGTCAATAACTTGAAAGTACTTGTCATGACGTGTCAGAATCACCCCATGGTCATCTTCCATTGCTTTTGCGAGTTCAATTGCACTTTGCTTAACCTCGGGATGTAGCATACAAATAATTGCATCTACCAACTTGTGAAGTGAAAAAATCTTGACTGGGATTGGAGCAGGACCTACGCCTCTGGCATGCACACTCTCTCCCCCAAAAGGTTGGTCAAAGTCTTTGTTGGTGTTGCTGTAAGGAGAATTACACTCCACGATAAAATCCTCTGGCCTCGGAGGCTCCTCATCGAAAATAGGTGGACCGTCGTACAATAGCCCGTCATCTTTCTCAAAAATCGCACTCTCAACGAGCTTAGTCTCGATGGGCGGAGGCAGCCACTCTCCGAAGGGATCCACCTCCAAGATGGTCTCTTCGCCGTCTACATCGCCGGGCGGCGGTTGTGGAGATGGTCGACGGGGCGCCCCGCCTGGAACACGACCTCCACTTCCTCTGTGAACTCCCCCGCGCACACCCTGGTCGCCGGCGGCACGGTTCATCTGCAAATCCCAGACCACGTTGTTAAGCGTTAAACGCAAATCCTCGATCACCGTCGAAAGATCTGCAAACCAATCTGTGAAACGCACGTCCAACTGTTCAAATCGGTAGTCGATCTGTTGAAACCGATCGTTGAAGGTTGCATCACATCGTTTGTTTGTGGCATCTTATCGTCCCAGCGACATCGCGAATCGTATTGACTGCTGATATCCAACTGATGTAGGGAAAGCGTACGAGTGGGCTAGATAACGAGATACTCTCTAGATGAAATTCACAAAACTCACCAATATCTTATTTCATTTCAATAATCAACTGAATAACATAAATGAGGAGGAGCCTTTAAATAAGGCTCCTAAAACCCTAATACTAACTTGTCCAACAAGACAAGAATCCTAACAAAATATTAAATAATATTAAATTCCTAATTTCTCAAGATACCTAATAATAATAATAATAATAATAATAATAATAGTCTACACCAATAACGCTATTATTTTTTAGATTTAAACGGACAAGGATATGAAAATAACTCATTTAATATCTCTGTTCCGTGCATCGTACGGGGTACATACTAGTAATATGAGACTTACATATTTCTATTATTAAACTACGATTGAACAAATTTGTAAAGTATTTTATAATCTTGGACTGGACTAATGGGGAATTAGGGTCCTGGTTTTTTGTTTTAAATATTGTATATATATCTTTAAATTTACATTTAATAAAATTTTTATTTTTTATAATAATAATAACAAATTCTTATTAAAAGGTGCAATATAAACATTATGTATTATGTAAAAATTGTTCCAACTTATCTTTATATTTTTTTCACTAAAATTGGTACTTATATATCATGTGTATTAATTTTATTATTATAGAGAAGGCTTTAATTTTTTTAAATGCTTCTAGGCATTTTTAACCAAACTATTTCGGTTTAAATTAATTTTCATTGTCAATTCCAAGATTTTTTTTACTGTCACGCACTTTTTATTTATACAAAATGAATTAAAAGTTATTAGCAATATGTAAACTTTGAGTATTACTATTTATAGTGAACTATATTATTTTCATATTATTTATGCCCCCAATTTAAATTATGGGTCCGTCATACTTCACTTATGTGGTTAAGAGCTCAAAAGTTTGCGTACTTAATTTTATGATTTTCCATGACGATTATTAGTTAGTTGGTGTGATATAGTCATAGAACTACTAATCCAGGCTAACACCTCAAAGTTGAGCTAGTCAACTAGTTTATAGCTAACCTCAAGTCATGTAAGTCAAGTGAAGAAGATCGGAGCTGGCTGAGCTACTCAGCTTGGTCATGCATGAGGCAACTAGCTTGATCCGAAAAGATGGATTGAGCTATTCAACTCGGTCGTACTTGAGATAACCTACTTGAGCGCTGGAAGGATTCAGGACAAACACAAGCTAGTAACCTATTGACCTTAGTTGGTCGACCTAAGTAGGAAGAGACCTGCGGACACAATTGAACATAAACAAGTGTAAACACAATAATGTGAACCTAATAGATAACTATGAATACAATCAGATAAAAAGAATGAGGCAGTCGGGCAACCCTTCGGCAACAAGAAAACTTGGGCACCAATGTACTCATTCTATATAAAGGGATAAGGTACAATTGAAATACTATATTATCTCTCTCTGATCTCTCAATATTTCTCAATAATCCAGATATTATTTATCATATTCATTCTCTTTCAGATAAACTAACTTAATCGTCGGTGTGTTCACATCGGAAGTTCCTCCCGGTTCTTGTTTTGCAGGTTATCAACTATACTCGGATGGTCGGAGGTTCCCAGTAATCGATTCAGGTAGATCCGTGGCCCGACACATCATAGTAGTATTTTAGTTATAGGCCTTGTTTCGTAATAAGCGATTAGCTGTTAGCTATTAGCTGATTGTATTAGATGTTTTGACCAGCTGATTGTGTTAACTGTTTTGACCAACGGATAGTGTTAGCGATTTATAAAAAGTGTTTGGTATAAATTAGTTATTTTTAATTAGTTATTAACATATAGAATTAATTATAAGAAATAAAACAAATTTTTTCGTATTTTTGTCTTCATGTGATCTCAGAACTCAAAAACTTTTAATTTTTGAATACTATTACACATTTTAAAAATGAGCAATACCACTTGAGTACATTTATGTATTCAGCCCCAATTTGTTTTATGAAATATCATTTTTGTATGATGAGGGCCCATTTCACCACTATTTCACCAAAAGGACAATGAAAAATGCAAACAATTCGACCAATCTCAACAAACTTGGTCATCACGTCATGCAAAAATGCAAAAAGCTAATTACAAACGCTCCTAAGACTAGCGTTTTGTATTTGGCGGTTTGGGAGCAAAAAGCTGATTGAAAATGCTAACTTGCCAAACAACATTTTCAGCTGATTGAAGAAGTTAAACAAGCTAAGACTATATTTGGTAAAACTAGCTGAGAGCTGATAAGCTAGCTGTTGACCATCGACTTGGAAATTATCATTATTCAGTGTTAAATGCAGTTATACGTCAGCTTAAGTATATTAAAGGTGGTCCTCTCGTATAAAAATCACTTATGATGTCAGAATCATGACTTATGATGTCAGAATCACGCCCTCTCACCGAAGTGAAGTCCTCATTAACCTCGGATCACCAACCGACTTCCTCAACGTCTACCAACAACACAACCCACCTCGGAGACAACCAAGTTCATCGATACCAAAGCAGGCGACAAGGCGCCCATGCGATCTCCTTACATTTCGTGCCCAAATGTCATGATAATGGTGGGCCTCACTGACAAAATCGCCCATTCAAAGTTACTTTTAAGTAAAAATTCTGAATGATTAGAGGGAGGTGATTATAGGCCTCGAACGGCGTGTAGTGAAAAAGTGACTATATATAGCTTCAAATATCCTCAGTTGTGGGGGACCGACCACGAAGTATTTAACAATAATCTCATATTATCTTTCTGGACCGTGTTAATTTATATATTAACTACCTGTATGATGTTGTTACAAATTTGCACGACAACAATAGCTTAAAGTTTATCAGTAATTTTTGAGCTTATAGCTTATAACTTATGACTTATAGCTGAAAAGTTAGCTTATATGATAAAAGTGTTTAGTAAAATTCGCTGATAAGCTAGCTGAAATAAAAATTTCAACAAGTTTATTTGAAAAGCTACCCAATGAAGTTTATCAAATAAGCTCGAACTTTTTAAAAAAGCTCGTCCTATCAAATGGAGCTTATTTGAAAACAGAGAGTTTATAAGCTAACCAAATAAGCTATAAACTAGCTTATTTGTCTATCAAACATAACCTAAATGTTCAAAAAACTAATTTTAGTTCAAAACGCTATTTTCCAAACGCAGCCATAAGTTTTTCTTAATAACGTAGTTAAGACACAACCAAAGCTTCATGTGCATGACTTGCTGATTATTATTATTATTATTATTATTATTATTATTATTATTATTATTATTATTATTATTATTATTATTATTTAAGACAAGTGTACCCTGTTTAGTACTTAATCTTTTATTATTATTATTATTATTATTATTTAAGACAAGTGTACCCTGTCTAATACTTTAATCTTGGGCTTGGGGGTAGACAATTGTTTACTGAGCGATAAATTTTAATTAATTGATATTACCATTCTTTGATTTGAGTGGTATAAGGGGACACAAGATCTACATGTGTGGGTTCATTGTTCATTTTCATTTTATTCTAATCCTTTTATAATCTAACTAGTGTGTACCCCGTGCGATGCACGGGAACAATAGTAAATTAACAATATTATAAATAGACATCGAGTTTGAGTTAATGGCGGAAGTGAAAACTACTATTGATCGTATTTAAAAAGAGGAAGAAAAAAATAATTATAAATAAAAGAAGAGGATAAATAATACTTAATAATTATAAATTAAAGATTCGGGGTCAAACAATGTAAAATGATTTTGTATAAGAGAATATAAAAAAAAAATTGATTACACACCATTTCAAAATTATTATTATACTTTTTTGTATGGTTAGCTTAGAATATTTGTAAAAATATTAGTAATTAGACCGATGAAAATTAGCTTATTAAAGTAGATAATGGATTTTAGTAGTAATTATGAATTAGTTTCTATTTTATTTTATTTTTTCTTTTTAAAGGTAATGGATTTCTAGTAGTAATTATGAATTGATTTCTATTTTATTTTATTTTTTCAAATCTGTATAGATAAGAGATGAGATTTTTTAAACACCTAAGATCGTATGCAATGAGATTTTGTAACAGAAGAGATAAGCTCGTGTAGATTTATACTAAAAATAGAAAAAAAAAACAATATTTATTATTAAAACGATAAACTAAGAAACAGGAAAAAGAGAAACAAATTTTTACACAATTAATGAACAGATTTTTTTGCCTATTCAGATTTGTCCAACAATTACTATATATAGGATATATTTAATGATTTTGGCGGGAAAAAGTTTCTAAATTTGTAAAAAGGTTATTTTTTTTATATATTGATAGATTTATGTGGAATTTATATAGTAAGTACTAAATTATGTGCAAGCACGTAGCTGAGTTGTCTGAATACCGTTAGCCAGGAAGAATGTAGGAACTCATGTAAGTTCTATTATTGTGGATTGTATGGAATACCAAATCTAGATTTACAAATAAAATTCGAATTTTTAAGAATTTAAATTGCAGGTGTCCACGTGTGATGATATATCTTTCGACATTTGAAACGGTAAAACAGACAACAAATATAATTTGTTATGCACCGGAAATNACACAAGAATCTATAGAAAAATATCGGATGAGTCACTGGCGGATCCAGATGGAAGCACTGGGGGCACGTGCCCCCACTAAGCGTGTGTGTGGGTTGGCTTTTTATGTGTATATATTGTAGAGAAGATTAGAGGAAAAACAAAATACATGTTTTTATTAAACAAGTTGTAATAATTTGGATACTAACTTTTGCTTAATTAATCTGACCTGCTTTATTTTCACAAACATATAAAAAAGGAGATTGATAGTATATATTACAAAGTATTGTCATGAAAAACCAAACTCACACACACTAACATGTATTTTATTTTATTTTTTTAAAAAAAAATCATAATTTCAATAATTGACAATGTTAATATGCCCCCAGTGAGATTTTTTCTTGGATCCGCCATTGGATGAGTCAAAGATAAAAAATAACGAGCCTCGGATGATTTGGTCTTTTATGTGAAATTCCCCGACTAATCTTTCCTCTTCTACTCCGAAGAAAACTCAAGGCTCTTCTATTGCGCCTTCCTCTAAAGAAAACTCACTGCTCTTCTGCTATGAAAATTACCTCTTATGCTTAAGAAGCTCGTCCGTTCTGTGTCCAAGAATATCCTATATTTTCCTGTCAAATATTTTTTTTTACTGTCATGATTCATTTCTAAGTAAGATACCTAGGTAAAATAGAACTCAATAAAATAAAATAAAGGCTTAATTGCACATAAAATTCTCACTTTTTATGTAATTGCAAGTAAAACTCGACCTTTTTATCTTTGAGTTTTATTTTATTGAGTTTTATTTTACCTAGGTATCTTAGAAATGAATCATGACAGTAAAAGGTATCTTACTTAAAAGGTTGAGTGTCACACAAGCCTCATCAGTGCCATGTAATATTTTTGATCGAACACGTCATCAAGGATTGGCTGAAAAATAGTTTTGAGACAAATTTGCAACACATAATAAAGGTTTGATATTTATTTGAAAAGATAAAAAAATTGAGTTTTATTTGTAATTACACAAACGTTGAAGATTTATGTGCAATTAAGCCAATAACTAATGGTTGTACTTGTATATGGTATGATTTTATTTTAGGCTTATCAGGAAGTGCATGGAGAATGTAGAGTTGGGATTTGGTGATACCTTAACCCCTTTTATAGGGAAAAATACTTATCCACATCTTAATAACCTCTTAGTCAGATCCTAGTCATATTAAGATTCTTTCTTATCCCCCTAAGATTCATCCTTATCCTTTATGCCCATTTAACCTCAGGCCGCGATCTTCACTAAGGACTTCTACCTCGAGCTGCGAGGCAAATTAGGTCGTCTTTTAGATGATAGAGGTCGACCTGGGCAATATCTCGAGGATCGGGTCATCCTAATGCCCTGTCACCTGGATTAAGCTGTTATATGATTAAACACTTTCCAAGTCGTTATTTCTCAGGTGAACATCGAGGTTCTCGAGCCGTGTATTGTAGCCCGCAAGCTGTTGCAGACTTCTCAAACCATTTCCTCTGACAATCATTAAGCTCCTAAAATATATATCTCAAGTCGACCTATCTAGCTCGACTTATAACCCGGTCGAGCTTTCAACACTTAACCCTGTCTGCACGAGTATGGCTATATCACTTATGTAGAGGCACTCTCAAAATTTTATTGGAATAAGAAAAAAAGATAGTGGATGCCTCGAATAAGGGATAATTACTATTTGAGGTGATAATTACTATTTGAGATGTCTGATAAATATTGTTCGCGGTGCTACATGCCATGAGGGAAGCAACCCTAGTATATGACTTATCGAGAAGCTTGCGTTGGGCGCGGATGCAGGATGATGATTGAGAGTATATAGACAGTATAACTGAAATGAGTCATTGGGCATATGCGGAGTCTCTTAGACGTATGTTTGCGTTATTGTTGATTTTTGGTTATTTGGGTAGACATGAGGATGTATGGGAACGATGTTGACAATTGTTATCTAATGACATTCTCTATAGGTAGCGGCGGTTGTTCAATAACAATGGTAAATATTCTTTTTTCTTTATATATATTTCACTTTATCCTGTGATTTGTTGTAGTACTGCATTTTTCTTCAACATTGTGCACTATTTTAACTTGAATCTTTAGCAGTTTATTGAACTTGCCAACTTTTAGATTTGTGGCTTAGTGATGAAGTTATAAAGAATCTCAACCTTGCTGAAATTGAGACATTTTTGCGAAGGCGTGACACAAGTCTTCGTGAATATTCGTCCATGCATTATCCAGACTGAGGTAGTATTCAGACCACTTCAAACCGCCTTATATTGGATGAGCTAAACTATGATCGAAAGACCCTAGCTGTGGAGCACGAAACACTTCTTCAAAGAATGACTGACGAACAATAATTGGTCTATTAATAATTATCTCCGCTATTGATTCAGGTAGCAGTGGTATATTTTTTGTATACGGTTATGGTTGGACTGAAAAGACGTGCTTGTGGAGGACATTATCTGTGGCGTTACGATTGAATGGTAAAATTGTTTTATGTGTGGGATCAGAGTGGAATAACATCACTTTTGTTTCCTGATGGAAGAACTGCACATTTTTGATTCACATAAAGTTGAATATTCATGAAAATTCGTCATGCGAAACCAACCAGACAAGTCATCTTGCGGAATTGATAATACGATAGTTGTAGTTTATTTTACCAGAGTAGAATCAAAAAATTCGAACACCGAGTTGTGTTCTCGAGGAAGGTTAGCCAAACTATTTTGTACGTTTATTCGATCACAAAAATACAAATATACCTAAACACTCTAATTTGATTTGTAGGTTTTGATTATTAACTAAGGAAATAAAAATGAGCTATTTAAATGTAGCAACTAGAAAATACAATTCAAGAAGATAAATGTAGTTCAAATATAAATAAATGAGCTAAGGTATCGGGGACAATCGCCTTCGGTTTTATATAAATATGATGACAATCAACAACTCAGTTAAAAGGCTCAATTAACTAACTCGTTTAGTGGTTTTACCTCACTAACTCTAGTAATATGCGGAAAAACATAAAAGAGCGAGTTAACGAGACAATCAACAAATACACAATACGTTTTCGAATATGTTTATTCTAAAAGAGCCAAGCTCTACCAATTTCGCCCCTCTCGGTTTTGAAATCGATTGTGTAGATTAAAATGGTGATCAAGCATTCAATCATAAATAAGTAAAACTCGCAAAGATTGAGTACTTGACATACACATAAACAAGAACGAACCGAACCGATTATCCCCTAACCCTAGCTAGAAGATTAGTTGTTCATAACAATCTCAACATAAACGTTCACATTAAAACAAGCCATCTTTGACATAAATAAAATGAAATAGATAACTTACTTGTAATGAAAATTCCACAAGTCAAGAGCAAATGCAAACTTAATTTCCAATACAACAATGTTCTCCAAAATAGTTCTCCAAAACAAAATACAATCTTAAAAACAAACTTAGGAAAGAAAGATAGAAGAAAGGTTGTAGAAAAAATGATGGAAGATGATCTTGATGTAGTGGAATGAAAGAGAATAAGTAGTAGTGTTTCCCCCCAACACCATAGCCTAATTCAAGGTGAAAATCCTGGTTTAAGGTTCCCACTACCGAGCACAATCAAAACAAGCCAGATTTTGTGGGAAAAGAAGAAAGTTCTGTCTGCCAGCTAGGGTTATCGGCGCTAACCCTCCTTAGCGCCGCTAAGGCTCCGGGGTTAGCGGCGCTAACAGGCCTTAGCGTCGCTATGGCCTGAATGCAATCCGCCTCTGGCTTCAGAATCATTTGATAGCGCCGCTAAGGATCCAGGCTTAGCGGCGCTAAGCCCCCAGAATCTCCACTTTGTAATTTTTCGAGCGCGTTTCATCTCGGCTAGCTTGTCTCGGATACTTCTCGAGCTGGAACTCGACTTCTGCAGTATTGGTCGCATGAACCGACCTGAAATCCCTCAGAATTAGTTGAGGAATCGCCTCTTTAATTGTACTCTTATCAACCGGATATCCCCAAACCTAAAATCGCACCACCGGAAAGAACACGAAAAACAAGGAGAAATAGGAAAAACACAACAAGAATACCACATACACCAAAATAACAATGAAAACACACGAAACGACTAAATGGACCGGAAAATCCTAATAAACGGCCTAAAATGGGGAAAACGACCAATAAAATACCAATAAAAATAACAACAAAAATGGGACAAACACGATACTCTCTCATCGTATTGGACGAGGCTCTGATGATGCGCAAACGTCGCTTCAAAGTTGTTCAAGTATCATTGCAGGCTGTCATATGAGCAGTTAACCCTTCGAGTAGTAACAAGCTCTTTGGAGGCAAGTCTGTTGTGTTTGGTGGAAACTTTCGACAGATCCTTCCTGTCATTCAAAAGGGGAATCGTCAGGACATTGTGAATGCAACTATTAATTCTTCCATCATTTGGAGGGAGTGTACTGTGCTGCAACTTATAAAAAATATGTGTCTTTAGAGCAATTTTGTTTCGGACGAGCGTGACGAGCTAGCAGCGTTTGCTTATTGGATTGCTAGCATTGGAGATGGGACTATAGAAAGATCAAACGATGATTGTACAACGATTTGACTCAGATGATATAAGACTAGATCCCTCCGACGATCTAATTGGTACAAATGTGGAAAGTTCCTATCAAATGTTCAAGATTTCAACTAATTATCCAAGTTATTTGAAAGACATGACTATATTAGTGCCTACATTGGAGGTCGTTGAGTCTATCAATCAATACATGTCAGAGATGAATTATGTTGAAGGTCTTATGTATTTGAGCTCTGACAGTACATTTAAGTTGAATTCTGACAACTACTTCTTACAGATCACCACACACCTCTTGAATAGTATCATGTGTTCGAGAACACCGAACCATGAGTTGCATTTGAAGATAGAAACTCCAGTCATGTTGTTACATAACATGGATCATTCCATGGAACTGTGCAATGAGACACAATTGGTTGTAACCAAACTCTCCACACATGTGCTCGAATGCAAGATATTGACGGAAGATCACACTTAGAGAAAGTGTTGATTTCTAGAATGAATGTAACTCGTCCTGATCTTAGGGTTCTATTTATGTTCTAGCGGCAACATTTCCTACTTATGGTTTGGTATGGTTAGTTGCCAAGTAATCAAACTAATAATGTTGTGTACAAGAAAATTTTTAAAATATAATTTTTTTTTTACAAACATTTTATGATTGTACAATTAAATACACTTTAACTTATAATACTCCCCAATTAAATACATCTCGTGCATCGCACGTGTTACACATTAGTGGCGTGCAATATTCAAAATATTGGCGGTTGGAGAGCAACTCGCTCAAATAAGTCTACTGACGTGCAATATTCAAATTATTTTACCGAATTTATTATCTACTGACGTGCAATATTCAAATATTCAACGGGCTATTGGCTGTTGGAGAGCAACTCGCGCAAATAAGTCTCAACCGAGTCGAGACCGCAAAGCTCCTTAACGACGGGCATAGTAGCTGGCACGTCCAGCTGGATTGTCGATTCAGCGCCTTCCAATCCTCCCCACGACTTGAGCTGTTTTCTTGCATCCTTAATCGCTGCCCGCGTGGCACAGTGCACTGATGCCGCCAGAAGCAGCGGCGGCTCACCAGAAGCTGCACCAGAAAAACAAACTTGATCAAATTACAAATAAAATGTACTGTTTCTGTTTCTCTTTTTAAGCCCAAGCATTTCTTGAATATTTTGCTCTCAATACTAGTCAACCAAGCATTTCATCATTTAATGCTTCGGCCAAACAGTGAATACCTTTAGACGAGAGGACGCGTTTCTGGTTATGTCCGCTGTTTAATATTTCGACGTTGAATTCTCTAGGGATAGTGTCAATGGTTGGGATCTTGTATGTCCATGTCCCGTCAGCAACCATTAAACCATCCGAATTGGACGGGTATTCTTCTAGCATGAAAAAACCGAGCCCTTGTACAAATGCCCCTTCAATCTGCGTAATCGATATTGAATTTTTAGTTGTTTTTTTTTTTATTATTTTTTGAAAAAAAAATTCGAAACTACGAAAAGCAATACAAGCGAAAACTAGAGATGGAATTTCGGAAGTATAAATGTATGATGATTGACCTGTCCCAAATCCACAGCTGGGTTCATGCTCTGGCCGCAATCATACACGATGTCTGTTCTTAATATTATTGTCTCACCAGTTAAGATATTTACCTCCACCTGCAATATAAATGATAAATACCCCCACTCGTTAGTGTGGTCTGCTCAACGTGGTTGAAACCCGAGAGACTAATCTAATTCGGTTGCTGCTAAATTGAGAAACATGCGAATGTGGATAAACCTGCATATTGACGTCAAAGCATTACATCATAAATAGGAAACTCGATGAAAATATTCTTACCTCACTTACTGCAGCACCATAGTTCAAGTATCTATTAGAACTTGATTCGGGCACAAAGTAAGAATTTGCTGCCAAATTCACATTTCGATAATGTGCCTGCATTCAAAAGTAAATTGCTCGATTAAAAAAAGGGAAAAAAAAAAATCGAAAATGCAGCATATGTAGGATGAACATAAACCTCCTATCCACACCCCCAGTAATTAATGTTTCCACATATATCGAGACAATGTATAAATATGCACAACTTTGCAAACTTGACAT